CCCCCCCCCCCCCCCCAACCCCTTCGGTCTTCGATCTCGGATATTTCGATTTTCACATTCTCTTTCGAATTCAAAATCATTTCTTTTGGATTTGCCTTTAAGTCATTAACTATCGGCCATTTCGACCTCCCGCTATTTCGAACTATTTTTCGTTTAATTTCCCTGCGACTTCGAAATAGCGCGGTTCAACTGTACGTTATCAGGAGAAGCGTCAGTGGTGTGGGGAATGGGTCCAACCCTTCCTCTTTCCTTGTACCACTTTGTCAATGGTTGTTTTTGTCTTTGATAAGAATAAAAGAAAAACTATCATTGGGAGAAACTCATGTACGGGGGATTGTTCCTTTAGACCATCTTTTCTTGCCATCATTTCTTTGCCTGTTGCTATTCCTTTCTGTCAAGGCCAATAAATTTTCCTTGACAATTGAAGATATGGCTCCTGTAGTATTCACTAACTAGGTGATATGGTTGAGCGTCTAAGAAACTAGTTATTTCTCTTACCTCCAAACCTTATCCAGTCTGATTTATAAACGCTAAGAAGACCATAACCAGCGGTTTCCCAGTAGCCTTGATGATCGACGTATGTGCTGCCACAATTCAGGCGTCCGACAATAGGCATGTACACAAGTCGACCTTCGATTGTACTCTGAAAAAAACAAGGAATACGCAGTGAAAAGTATGTTTCTAATCCTCCTAAATCACAGAATATAAGAGTATTCATTGACTCAGTTTTTTAAATGACCACTAATATTTTGTTATATAAATCAATTACCAGCTCACCTTCCTTACACTGTGCATAATGTCAACAGGCACATCGATATGAAGATCAAATAGAAACAAAATATCATGCTCACTTGGAACACGCTCAACATCCTTGTTCAACGCTAACGTCTTATAAAATTTGCCTTGCAGCGTAATAATAGTGTGTCGAGTGCGAAGAAGAGAAGTGCCAAACGCCTTCTCTAGGTTGATATCTTGGCTTTCAAAGTCAACAACAATGACGTGGAAGTTCTTATCACCAGTCAATAAGCTGGCAACTGTGAGCTCATTGATAAAATGATAAACCCATATTGCTTGATCTTTGACAGGGAGAATGAAGTACACTGTGACGTTGAAGTTCCAGTCCATGCCTTTAGGGAAACACAAGCCATGGCTAAGCTTTTTGTCAAAGACGTTCTCTGACAGGCGAAATGATTGACTGCTGCCATTTAAACCGAGTTCCAGATCCACTGAGTAACGATCACCATAAACTGGGTCTGCCTTCTGCAAAATGTTGTGGATCCTCCTTACAAAGTACTTCCTACATGAGAGGTGAAACATATCCCAATTGTCAGCATAAGCGAAATCAAGACATTGTATAGACCGTCATCCTGGAATTGCCAGTGTGCCAGTTCGCCTAGGGTGCGGTCGCTTATTTGATCGTCCACTCAGTCGGTCGGTCAGTTGGTCCGTCCGACGTCAATCCGATTGTCAATTAGTTTGTCAGTCAGTCAGTCAGTCAGTCAGTCAGCAGGTCAGTCACTAAGTAGGTCAGTCAGTCAATGAGTCAGTCGATCAATGAGTCATTCTTTAAGACAGTCAGTCAGTCAGTCTATTATTCAGACAATCAGTCTGTCAGTCTGTCGGTCTGTTGGTCTTTCGGTCCGTCAGTCCGTCAGTGTGTCCGTAAGCCATAAATTAGAATTTTGTTGAATGTAACTTACTTGGAGGTTTTAAGTCTCAGCGAAGTAGTTATCTTGTTGACAACCGCTTGGATTATATCCCAGCCTGCAACTCGGTTAGGAAAATTTTGATAGTCTACCATCAAGCCCATGGTAGTATTGTCTTCTGGATAAACCAAGGATACAGAAACATGATTGACTCCTTCGTATCGATAAACTGTACGACTTAACACAAAACTGCTTTGGTAATCACACGAGGGAAGGTAACTATCTTTGGGAATCAAAGGGAGGGAATAAAATTTTAAGTAATCCTCGCTTATTCTTTTAGATTTTAGCTCCAGTTCTACACGATAACGATCCGACAATACGCTATGCAAAACATCTTTGTTCTTCGTTGTAACCACGTTTTCGTCAGAATATGGTGATACGTGCTCCGAACTGATCAGTTTGAAGTCCTTGTGTTGCAAACTCTTCCAAAAAACTTGAACAAAGCCATCCCCAGTGCCTTGTTTATGAAGAACTTCGATGTAATATTTACTGCCTTGATGAAGCTTTATATCTTTCGAGATTTGGTCAGGATATTTATGCAACTGATTTAGCTTGGCCCACGCGGCTACACCGTCTTTGAAGACTCTAGCAATCAACTGTTTTTGGTTTGGATCTTCACTTGAACTAAGCCATAACTCTGACGCATCATCCGAGACTATAGCAAAACGGTATGGCATGGTGATTGGTGGGTGAACGAAGCCAAAAATAAGCTGACCATAATCTATCCCGTGATCTTCAATCTGGAACTTGGTAATAACGCTCCTGAAGTTTTCATCGGGGTAACGAGGAAAAAATAACGATTTCCGTAAGTTCGAGATGTCTGGACCACACAACCCTCGCCAGATGTAAACATCCAGTGCGCTAAAAGTTGGTTTTGTAGGGGAAGTGGCATTCGCTGTGTGGTCTGCAATCGTTAAGTTGTAGTTTACCACTTCCATCTTATCATTTGTCGGCATCTGTTTCTGAGAAAGCTTAAGGTTCAACGCATAGCGCCAAATAAAACAGGCTAACAGGACCGTGACCAGGAGGAGAAACTTTCCAAGTCTTTGAAGCTTGCGCAGTCGAAGAAAAGTTTGAATAGCCGCCATAAGTATGCCAAAAGTGTTGTAGTCGAACTGCAGCTTAGAGGACTGATTTGGATATCGATTGTGAAGTTTCCTTATTTTTGAGTTCGTCTACAAGTGAAACACAAGAGTACTTGGGATCTTAGAAACGGCCTAAAAAAAAAAAAATAGGCATCAATCAACAACAAACTTGCATTCAAAAGTTTGTTGAGAGAGGCTTTCAGTCATAACAGCCAAAGAAATCCCCTTAAAAATTAGATTACAAACCTTTATAAACCTACATAGCGATCGATTTTAAAGTTCTTAAACTTCTGAAGTCTATAAAACATCTGAGGTCAACGACGGAATTCATTTAGAAGTATTCAAGTGGAGACTTCCTGTCCACTGGCTTTCTCATTAGTAAAAGGAATGTTCTTTTAGTTTCTGATAACATTATATGCATGACCAATGACTAAATCAGTGTGTTCTTTAGAAGCACTGCACGTGTTCAACTGTTGCAAAAGGTCTAATCTTTCCTTTGGCGAGATTAAACGGCATAAACGTTCAGGGCTGGGTTGTTCAAAAGCCGGATAAAGCTAACCCCGCAATAAAGGATTCATTTTTCTTCTTTAGAAATGTTTTTCACTGCTTATGTTTTGTGTAGTTTGAGATGAGGGTCCCCAATAGGTTTGGCGGGATGCGGGATTTGGCTTTTATATCACCGTGATGTTTGGGATTTGAGCTGAAAACAGGGGCAGGAAGCGGGAATTACAATTACGAGCGGGAGCGGGATTTCGTGTTTTTATAGGGTTGGGATGCGGGATTCGCAAGGGGAACAGAGCGGTATACGAGATTTCAATTCTTACGTCACCTCATAAATTGTTATTGACCAGCGCAAGAACCACAAGCTGGCAGAAACGAACCTTTTGTGCGTTATAGCTGTGTCAGGTTTTAAATAATGAATAGCAACGAATCTGTACCCTGTCAGGTTCTGTCAAACGTATTCATTATCGCTTGACTACGTTAGCATCATGTTACTGTATGAGGTCTTTCATTCCTATTCCTACTGATTGCGATCATTTGTGTTGACCTCGGACATCTGTCCATTTCCAACATTTTCGACGCTTGCGTCTGTAATCTTGGTCTCCGATCATTTCTAGTTTTTCTAGTCTTTTGACCTTCTCCAGAGCGCTTGGTTTGTTTGGGCCAAGATAGCCACACCGGATGGCGGTGATAGTGATTTACCGAATGAAGTATGCGTCGCCATATATTCCGAAAAGGATGCGCGAGCAGGAATGCCTTCATTCAGAAAGAAAAGTTCTGAGCCCAGATTTCAAGGAAAGTGGAGACGCTGAAAGCTTTGAAAGAAACTGTCAAGTGTGTATACAGGCCATCTCTTTCACTGATACGTGGACAAAAGAAAACAAAGCAGTAAACCGTTTATGGAAAGAAACGTAATTATAATCATTTGTGCTTACTTATCTGCTATCCATTGAATTCGTTTCTGATCTTTCTTATGATATGTATTTTCAAAAAAATTCTGTGTTAATAATTTAACTAATTATTAATTTAACAAATTAATAATTAACGCAGGAACGTCTTTGAAAAGTAGACGGGATTGGGATGTCCAGTCAAAAAAGGGTGGGATGGCGGGATTAACAGGAAAAAACGGGCGGGAAAGCGAGATCTGAAAACCCTATTGTGGACCCTCTGAGATTATTCCAACTCAAAACTGAAGGACAAACAATATAAACAGGAAACCTCACCAAAAAGTTACAAAACAGAATTAAAATTATTACTAATCCTGGCTTAGTTTACTAGGGCTTTGAGCAACCCGGCCTAGAAGAGTAAGCGTTGCTTCAAGCTTCCAACCGCATAAAATTCAAACTTAAAGCTAGCACATTGTGTCTAGAGTGGAAACCAGCGCTTTTCAGTGATTATAATTTTAATATCGCTTGAAATTCGTGAAGCTTGTAATCTCTTTTGCGACGTATTGTCTACCTCAGTCCCTCGAACGGTTCTGTTAAAGATAGGAGACATCAGTAAACAAGGTACTCCCGGACAGGAAAAAGTGACAGTCAATGCATATAAAACGGTGCTGCAAGCTTGGTAGCTTTTGGTAACACTGTATGATTTTGAAAAAAAAAAAAAATCAAAAAATGGTGGTATCTCAAACATTCATGAAAATGTATTTTAGGTTTAAGCAACGGTAAATTTCAAAGTGTAACTTCAACTTTTGCTCTCAATTTTGGAATAGTCATGTAAGACAAATCTAGCTGCTCTATGTCGGACCATTTCAATCTGGCTAATATTACGTTTAGTGTATGTTCAAGGGGTTACGTTTAATGTTCAAGGGGTCCCAATTAAGTTTCTGGTTTACAGTTATGCCCAAATATTTTGTTGAGATTGCTCTGGTGATGGTCTAGCCATTCATTATATAATCATGACAAAATTCTGTAAACAGTTTCGCGCATGCTTCGTGATCGTGACTAAAACACCACACGAGTACATACGAGTAACATACGTGTACATACGAGTACATACGAGTAACATACGGATACATACGAGTAACAAAAGAGTACATACGAGTAACGTACCAGTAACATACGAGTACATACGAGTACACACGAGTAACATACGAATACGTACAGATACATACGGTAATACACAGGTTATACATCAATACATTGGCTACATACGAATACATGAGAACAACATACGATGGCAAGACGGTAATAAACATGAAATGTACCATTTTTCTCTTCACATTTCATTTTTGCATGTGCACGGGTCTTGTCTTGCACACACACACGAGCGACCGAGAGCAAGTGCCACACGCGCGAGTATCATCCGTATGTACTCGTATGTTACTCGTATGTAGTTGTATGTTACTGGTGTGTACCCGTATGTTATTCGTATTTATATAATAACCCAAATTATTCTCGCATTTTGATTGGTTCTCGCCTATGATCTATTAGAGGACAGATGCACGATTGACGTCATCATTTCAAAGTTTTTTTCCCCCCGTGTTTTAAAATGGCGGAAAGTTTTGAGAATTTAGATAATATTCTACATGACTGGGCAAAAGATAAGGTACAAGAAAGTCTTGTCCAGGCATTGAACAGCTACCAGAAGCATAGTCTAGCAGAAAGAAGAAAGATAAAGCCGT